GAGAGAGAGAGAGAGAGAGAGAGAGAGAGAGAGAGAGAGAGAAAGAGGAAGAGGGGGGGAGGGAGAAAAAGAGAGAGAGAAAGAGGGAAAGAGAAAGCATATATAGCCAGTGAGGGGGAGACAGACAAATAATCCCTGGCCTACCAATAATAAAGTTGAAAATTACCTAATCTGTTCTCTGAGACCAGAATATAATTAATTATCTTTCTTAGAGGAAAAGCATAAGAAACTGCACACCTACAAGTGGGCTTCTGCTTGATCTAAGTCCCCTAATGGGATGGCAATAGAATTTGACCACTTCCCCCCACCCCGCTCCCCCACAGCCCTCCTGTCCCCCATACACACACAACAGGGACCTTGATATGTTACTAGGACATTGTATCCTGGTGGGGCAGGAGGGTCTTAGAAGCTTAGCCTTTCTAGATCTTCCAAGATCTCTCTCCAGTCAGAACCTTTCACCTTCTCTGCCTGATTCCAGCCTAGGAAGAAGCAGCTTCTTTTGCTCCCACTGCTTCTAACAGGACTGAACTATTGAGATTAGGTTTTGTCTTAGACCTCCTTCCTTCACAATAAGAATCGGGGAGCTAAGTGAGGGGTTTGGATCACAGTCAATGCTGATTATAGGGCTTGAGATTCAGCCTCTCAGCATACCATTCCCTTTCAAAACATTCATCCATTGGTAAAGGATTGGAAATTGAGGGGATGCCCATCAATTAGGGAATGACTGGACAAGTTGTGGTATATGATTGTGATGGAATACTACTGTGCTATAAGAAATGATGAGAGGGTGGTTTCACAAAAACCTGGGAAGATTTACATGAACTGATACTAAGTGAAGTGAGCAGAACCAGGAAAACACTATACACTATAATATTGTAACCATGATAACTGTGAAAGACCTTGCTACTCTGATCGAGACAAAGATCCAAGAAAATTTGACAGATGTTATCCACCTCCAAAGAGAGAACTGATGAACTCTTGGGTACAGACCAAAGCATACTTTTTTGCCTTTATTTTCTAGCCTTTCCTTTTTCTTTTTGCTTTTTTTTTGCAACATGGCTAATATGGAAATCTGTTTTGTATGACTTCATATGTATAATTGATATCATCTTGTTTGACTTCTCAATGATTGGGGGAAGGGCAAGAGGGAGGAAGAGAATCTAGAACTCAAAAAACATTTTAAATAAATGTTAAAAATAAATTAATTTTTAAAAATGTAAACTCCCACCCATCCTCACTAACACATCTTTTTCTTCTTGTCCTGGCCCTCTTCTCAGATCCAACAATGCTGCTCTAACATCAATGACAGGCTTGATCAGGGCTATTCAGCATTTGACTAGCCCTTAGTTAAGAGTACTTTATTTCCCACATCTAGCAGGGAGGGACCATGACGGCAGAATGGTCAGCGTGCACTTGGCATAAGGAAGACTTAGTTGTGAATCAGCCTCTGACACTCGCTAGTTGTTTTTTGTTTTGTTTTTTTGGCTAGGCAATGGGGTTAAGTGACTTGCCCAGGGTCACACAGCTAGTAAGTGTTATATGTCTGAGGTCAGATTTGAACTCAGGTCCTCCTGAATCCAGGGCTGGTGCTCTATCCACTGCGCCACCTAGCTGCCCCTGCACTTGCTAGTTGTATGACCACAAGCTATTTATTTAACCTCTTAGGGCCTCTGTTTCCTTATCACTACAATATGAATAATCATACCAGAGATACCTAATAGGGCTGTTGTGGGACCAAATGAGATAAATAGATAGGCATTTATTAAACAGCTATTTGCTAGGCACTGGGATACAGATACAAAGAAACAATTCCTATCTGCAAGGAGATTGTGTTCTAGTCTACTTGAGCTTGAACAGCTTAACTGCATCAAGTGTTTTGGGACATCCTGTATTTAGAAAGTGTATGTACATGGAGTATGTGTGTGTGTGTGTGTGTGTGTGTGTGTGTGTGTGTGTCTATGCGTGCTTTCTATCCCCGGTGTTTAACTCATATAAAATGCTTAATAAATGTCCATTCATTTATTGATTCATGAACTTTGCTTTCTTCCCCACTAAACTTAAAAGTGTGTCCTCCGTGCATTTTCCCCAAAAAAGCCAGTTGTTAAAACATTTACCAGCACACTTCTCCTTCCAACTCTAAATCAATGATTCCATTTATCCAATTCTATTTTTTCCCCTCTCAGAAGTATCATGGGAGGCAGGAACCTCTCAGGACAGAGGAAAACAGAGAACTTTTGTTCTTATCGGAGAAAATAAAGAAGTGCTTCTATCCCAAAATGAATATAATCATAAGCAGTTGGAAATCTGTGTGACTCACTGACCCACTTAAGGAATAAATTAACTGTACAGAATTTGCTGTTTGCCTGGATGTTCCTGTTTGCCAATGCTGTGGAACATGGTGAAATTATTCCACTGCCTAGCGAGCTGATATTGTTACCCTCAGTAGTTTTCTGCTCAGTATAGGAAGGAAGGAAACAAGCATTTATTAAATACCTACTGTGTGCCAGTTACAGTTTGCACTTTGCAAACATTATCTCATTTGATCCTCACAACAACCCTGGGAGGTAGGGACTATTATCATCTCCATTTTGTGGTTGAGGAAACTGAGGCAGGCAGAGGTTTAAGTAACTTGGCCAGGGTCACACAGCTAGGAAATAGCTGAGGCCAGATTTTCATTCAGGTCTTCCTGACTCCAAGAAGCTAAACAAGGCACCAAATGAGCAGCCTCTATTTGAATCTTGTTTATTTGCAGTCTGTACTTTCATAATTGGTTTTGTTTCCAGATAAAGATATGCTGATTTTTGTTGAATTGAGAGTAATTGTTTGTAATAAAGGACTGGATCTCAAAAGAGAGGGTAGGTCAAAAGGGGTCTTGAGACCAGTTTTACGTTATCTTTCCACAAGAGCCTACACTAAGCTGGGGCAGCTAGGGGGTGCAGTGGAGAGAATGCTGGGCCTGGAGTGAGGAGTTCAAATCTAGTCTCAGGTACTTCCTAGCTGAGAGACCCTGGCCAAGTCACTTAACCCTGTTTGCCTCAGTTTCCCCATCTATAAAATGAGCTGAAGAAGGAAATGGCAAACCACTTCAGTAAACCCTGAATGGGGTCAGAGAATAATCTACCTTGATGACTACACAAAAGAGGTGCTTTGCTTATTAATCAAGCAATTATTAATTAATTAATCAATTATTAAGAGATCCTTGAAAATAGCTACTAGTTCCAGAGTGAGTAGGAAACACTTGATTCCATCCATTTTAAACATATGTGGGACATGCAACTGGGAAATAAAATATACAGGAAATGGGGTATAGAAATCTATCCTGCCCTACAGGAAAATTGAAGGGGAAGGAGATAAGAGAAGGGGAGAAGAGATAGAAGGGAGGGCAGATTAGGGGTATTCAGAATGCATGCCATCTTGGGGTGGGGAGAGGGTCAAGATGGGGAGAAAATTTGGAACTCAAAACCTTGTGGAAGTGAATGTTGAAAACTAAAAATAAATTAATTAATTAAAAAAATTAAAATATAAAAATAAAAATAAAAATAAAAAAATAAACATGTGGGGGCACTACCTTCATTCCCTTTGCTTGTGGACCCTGGTTGGTGACACAAAGGGCAAAGGCAGACCATTGGGCTGCAAACTGATATAGAAAGGAAAAATGAGTGAAGCAAGAGATAGCGAGTGGATTGTTATGATTTTGTAATCTCCAGTGTGTGCATATTGTTGTGGGAAGAAAAGCAGCAGGGGTCAGTCAAGAGGCTGAGGAAATGTAGGCCAGTAAAACGTTGAAAGTTATCTGCAATGTCATGGTACTGCAGCATTTGGCTCACGAACTGCGTGGAATTGTTTTATAAAAGATCCACCCTGCCCCCAGTGCCCCCTTGGGATTAGCAGCAAGGCAATGAATCATGCATCATTCCTCTAAGATCAGAAGGAAGTGGGTGAATCATGGAAAACTTGGAGTTAATCAGAAGAAACCAGACAGGAAAATCATGGCCTGAAGCCACGCATTGAATCTGTGCCACTAAAACCAATTCAGGTAGACGTGCCCTGGGGACTCAAGGGAAGAAGGTAATGCATTGGCAAGGTTATGATGACAACTGACTTGGCACCTACTACTACCATTACGGACAATAATTGCTAACATTTATATTGCACTTATATCATTTGATCCTCACAACAACCCTGGGAGGGAGGTGCTATGATTATCCCCATTTCACAGATGAGGAAACCTACTTCCCCAAAAGGCCACACAGCGTGGCCCTCACTAGGCATCCCTTAGCCACATGGCCTACCCTTGGGATCCAACCTGGCAGAATTCCACTTCTCAAACAGGAGTCAGCTCAGGAATGCAACTGATTGAGGAATTGGTGTTATGCTGGAGGATAAAGCAAACAGAAGGAAGGCCCTGCTTTGGGTTCCTTTTGGGTGGGTCTCCAAAGTGAGGCAATACCTATGTCAAAGGAAGCCAAGCAAGGTCTTTGACTTCTCAGTTTCCCCAAAATCTCAAGTCAGTCCTGGAAACCTCTCATTTAATAGCATTTCTCTTGCAAAGCCAAAAAAGCAGCCTTTGATCATCTGATCTGCCAGGAGAGAACAGACCGTGTTTGGTGAACTTCAGGTTAATGCTAAGCCCTGGCAGAGAAATCAGAGTGTGGTATAAATGCTGTGGAGATGGCCTCTTTTCTGGCAGGGAAAGGGTGAGGACAGAAGCTCAGAGCACAGGGCAGGAAGGATTCAGCTGTTCTTAGCACCTGATCTATTCTGTCCTGTCCTGAACTACCTCATTCTGAAAAGAAGGAAGGAAGGAAGGAAGAAAGGGAAGGAGAGAGGGAGGGAGGGAAGGAGGGAGACAGGGAAGGAGACAGGGAAGGACAGAGGGAAGAATGAATGGAAGGATGGAAGCAAGGAAGGAAGGAAGGGAGGGAGGGAGGAAGAAAGGGAAAGATGATAGGGAAGAAAGAGGGAAGGAAGGAAGGAAGGGAGGGAGGGAAGGAGGGAGGGCAGTATCCAAGAAGACCAGAGGAACTGTTGGCCTATATTCATGTTTTGTGTTCTCTCTTCCTGTTCACATATGTCTAAGATAGTCTTCTCATGCTTTCTCTGGAGACCTTTCTGAATCCTACTACTCCTTCAAGGACCTGATTAAATTCCACTGTCTCTGTGAAGTCTTCCCTAACAACCCCCAAACCACATCTCTTCCTACTCTGAAATCAGATAGCACTATGTCAGCTGGACCACTCCTCTAGCACCTACAGTACAGGGGATAGAGACTGGACCTATAATTTCATTGATAATAGGGAAGTCCCTCTACCAAAGCCCCTTCTATGAAACTTATATTCTTAGAGAGTTTTCTAGAGCAGAGATGTCAAACTTGCAGCCAGAATGCATCCCAAAAATCCTCTAGGCATGAACCAAATTAAAATGTAATTGGGAAATATTTAACAAAATAAATAAAAATACAACTCAACAATCTTTTTTTCAGACACGTCTGACTCTTTATCCCCATTTGGGGTTTTCTTGGCAAAGATACTGGAGGGGTTTGCCATTTCCTTCTCCAGCTCATTTTACAGATGAAGAAACTAAGGCAAACAGGGTTAAGTGACTTGCTCAGAGTCACACACCATACATTAGTAAGTGTCTGAGGTCAGATTTGAACTCAGAAGATAAGTCTTCCTGACTCCAGGCTTGGCACTTTATTCACTATACCTCTTAGCTGCACACACACAATTCAATATAGATATTGTTAATTTATGGGTTTCTAAGTCAATGTGCTGCCCGCAGCGATTCCTTTTTATTTGAATTTGACACCACTCATCTAGAGCAGAGAAAAAGATAAACAGCCTGGCCAGGGTCACACAGCTGGTAGGCGTCATAAGTAGGACTTGAGCCCAGGTCCGCCTGGCTCTGAGGCCATTTTGCTATGTACTGCACTACACTGCCTCTCATAGTACTTATGTTCTGCCAACTTTAGTTACCTTCTGTCTCCCCAGCGCACTGATTGATTATTAAGGCAGTCTTGAAAATAGCTACTAGCCCAGCTTCATGAGTGGAAAAGACTCGATTCTTTTCAAGTAGGTAGGGCGTATTCACATATTTCTCTGAATTCTCAACAATGCTCAGTCCAAAGCTTTGTCCATAGGAAATACTTAATAAAAATGCACAGACTGGGTTAATTGATTAGATAGATCAGTCCCTTGAAGTCAAGAGCTCTCTCTCTCTCTCTCTCTCTCTCTCTCTCTCTCTCTCTCTCTCTCTGTGGCAGTTCAGGAGAAGAGGTAGGATTGTTAAAGGGGCAGCAGTCACAGCCAATATTATCTCTGTTTCTGTGTAGGGGTAGAGGAGAGGATCTTGCCTCAGTCATCAATGCAGGGAGCCAGAACATCAACATTCCTGCATCATTCTTGCATAGGGATCAGGAGTCATAGAAACAGTCAACACACAGCAACTCCACCCCATCCCTGGTCAGTACAACGCGTCAAACCCTCTTACACCCAACCTGAGGGCCAGGAACTTTGGGGAACAATATCACTGAATTGATCTGCCATCTCTGAGTGTCTGCTATCATTGGGAGGTTGGGATATCAATTCTACAGGCATGGATGCTAGTCAAAATGGCCTAGAAGCTAAAATACAGTTGAACTGGATCGGGGTTCCCTGATTAATTCAACTGGACTCCAATGAAAACAAGCTGCTGGTATTCCAGAGGGAAGCAGGAACCAGGAGGGGCTGACTCAGGCAGCTCTGCTCCATAACTTCAGAAGGGCCATCTGCCAAAGGAAAAAATAAAATGTTCTGGCAGAGATCCCTGCTGTCCTTGGCAGAGTCCCACTTAGGATCAATTGAGGGGCTCCCTCTGCTGTGGTGTGTTCTCAGGGGGCTCCCCCTGCTTCAGCTTAAGATCCATCCTCTCTCTCTTTGTGGAGGCTCCTCCCTCCCGTCTCCCCCAGCCTCTCAACTCTCTCTTCATCCCAGGACCTCCTCCCCTCAAAACAATCACTGATTTGCATTAGCATTTTGCACATAACTGGGGCATGTTGTTCATGTAATGTCAAAACACAGAAATTCCTACTCTTCCTTAATCTTTTTTTTTTATGAGGTTTGGTAGGCACCCACAGGGGAAGCAAATGTACAAATAATCCGAAGTCATTTCTAAGATGTGTTTTAACATTTATTTGTCACTGATTTACCTTTTGGATTATGTTTTCCTCCCCTCAGGCTGATGTTAATATTGACATGAACATCTGTGGCCAATTAGCACCATTCATTAGATCACAGTGCTAAGGAGAGAGAGAGCGAGGTTATGGGTTCAATTCCCCAATGGGCCAGTTAGCATCTCTCTTTTTCTATGGCCACAGACCACGCATGCCTTTAATGACAGTCATGGCAGCCTTCGATTCTGACAACAAGGAGGATAGAGTCACAATGAAAATGGTTCAATGCAACCTCATCCCGCTGCTAAAAACAAAACAAAAACAAAAGCAAAGCAAAACAAAAAAGCTCAGAATGTATAACTTGGAATTAGAGTTAGTGCAGAATCAATTTACGATCTGAAGGACAAAAAATTGTTTAATTTCATTAAGATGACATGGATCCTTTCCTCAAGGAAGTTTTGGTTGAGCTAGGGAAACAAGACTTAAACATAAAGGAATAATTAACAATTTTCTTTTGGCCCTGATCTGTGATTGCATTAGGGTAGGAAACTCCCAGGGAGAAAATTCACTCTACACAAATATATTCAATTATTCTGAAACTTAAGAATCTTAGAGAATTGCCTGGGCACTAAGAGGTTAAGTAACTTAATAAAATTAGGGCTTTTCTACGCTTGGAGAGAGAGTATTGTGGGTCAACCCCTGCTCTGTGTGTGTGTGTGTGTGTGTGTGTGTGTGTGTGTGTGTGTGTGTGTACTCGAGCACGGATTTGCACATTCACGTGATCTTGAGATGCATAAGTGCAAGGAAAAGCAGAAAAAAAAGGATCTTGAAATCTTAGAGTTGGGCTCTTCATGGAATCACATCATTTCAAGAGCTTGTTAGAATAGTAGGGATCAGTGAATTCAACTTCTTCATTTTACAAATGAGAAAAAATGAAGCACAAAGAGAGTTTAAAACTTGCCCGAGATCACAGAGCTAGTGAGTGACTGTCTAGACCAGGGTTGGAGAACCTGTGGCCTCGAGGTCACATGTGGCCCTCTAGGTCCTCAAGTGAGGCCCTTTGACTGAATCCAAACTTCACAGAATGAATCCTTTTATTAAGTCTATTTTTATAAAATAATTAAATTAAATAATTTTAATTTTTTAATCTAATAATTTAATGAATTAATATTATTAATTAATAATTAGTGGTATTAATAATTAAAATAAATTAATTAAATAGTTTAAATTTTAAAATCCTTTTATTAAGTCTATTGTATAAATCTATCTTATTAAGTCTAGACTGTAGACTCAAACCCAGATCTTCAGAGGACACAGTCACTAAACCATGTCTACGTGATCTTCAAGGTTACCCAGCCCTCCATTCAATGCTTGACTCCTTTCTATCCCTAACAAGTGTCCATCCACATTTAAACAGGAGAACTCTACCTATTTTTTCCTTCCTACCTTGATCCATAAGGCTGAATTTCCAGATAAGAGCAGGCATCTGAAATATCCAACAGTGTTTAATGGGTTGAGAAGGGCAGAAGAGTAAATGTGTGTGCACAAGTACATACACCTGTGAGTATATGTGTAGGGAAGGAGGGAAGGAATAAAGCTGAGGGAGGGGCACAAGGAATTGAAAGAAAATTTTCAAACTCCGCAGCCAGACATCTACAACCCTTCACATTATGGCTCCAATTTACCTTGCCACGCTTACTACGCTTACTACACATTACTCCCACTCACATACCTTATATTCCAGCCAAGTTGGTTTTCTTGCCATTCCTCACATGCGATACCCAATATCCAATCTCCATAAATTTCCGTAGACTGTACTCCATGCCCAGAATGCAATCATTCCTCACCTCTGCCTCTCAGAATCTCTCATTTCCTCCCAGGCTAGTCTCATGTGCTATCTCCTTATCAAATTCTTTTCCTCATCCCTTTAGGCGTTAACATTCTCTCTCTACTATACACACTCCTGTGTTTACATGCTGCATCCATCCCAAATAGAATCTAAGTTCCTGGAAGGCAGGGACCTTTGGGAATTTTTTTTTCCATTTTGTGTTTGTATTTATAATAGGCAGGTAATAAATGCTTGTTGGATCAAAGTGGATTAGAAGGGGAAAGAAACGGTACAGGAGAAACCGTAAGGGCCTTCCCACTTACCTGAGCACATTTCGCCCTTGTAGCGGACACAGGAGAAGTCATCACATTCACAATATTTGCCGGTGACCTTGCCAAAATCGCTACTATGGCAGACACACTGGCCGCACAGGCACTCCCCGCGCTGGCTGCAGGCAGGCTGGCCCTCCTGAGGACTGCACTCGTCCTGCTGGGAGGGGTGGTAGTCCTCCTCGGAGCACTCGCACTGGGCGCCCAGCCATCCAGGGCCACAGCGGCACACCCCACACTCAAATGTCCCATTTCCCTGATTACAGCGGCTGCTTTGTGGTTCAGCCTGGGCCTGACAGGCGCAATCACAGTCAAAAGTGACAAAGATGGTGAGGCTGTCCTTGAACCCCACAGGCTTAATGGTAAAGGATTTCTTCTTTTCTTGGGGACAGCCACGCACTTTGGCCTCAATGCTGAAGCTCACCTGGGAGGGAAACAGGGTCTCATTGGGACATAGGTTGCCTTGTGCCTAACAGCTCACGTTCTATTATAAACCAGTGAGGAATGCCCAACCACTTGAGCCTAGAACCTCCCCACCCTGCCAGAAAGTGTGCAAACTAGGCATGGGATCATATGATTTAGAGCTAGTAGCGTACTTAAAAATTCTGTGCCCCCCAACCCCCATCTTATGGTATATGAGGTCTAGAGAATGAAAGTGACTTGCCCAGAGTCACAAAGGGAGCAGAGCTGGGTTTCAAACCCAGGACTCTCCCTTATGCCAGCCCACCTCCCATATTTTACTCATCTCTCTTTCCCACCATCCTGAGCTTCTTTGGCTGGACAGGACCTAAAGCAGTAAAACCCAAGTGTGGAGATCCTGGGCAAGGACACAGACATAGCTGCATCCAGGAGATGAGATGGTAAGGTCAGGGGTCAAATCAACAGCTGTGGAACAGGCTTTCCTCTGGGTGGCACTAACTGACTTTAATGGGACTGAATCCAGGACTTTGTATTTATGAGCACCATGCTCTAACTAACTGAATTAATTGGCTACAGGCAGAATTCATGACACCACCCATCATGGAACACAAATTTGATACTGTGCCACATACCACAACTCCACACCCACACCATGCTACGTAAATGCAGCATCACTAAACAAGATGTACAACTCAATTCAGGACAATACCCCAACACCCTTATAGTCTGAGAAGTTTTCAAGCAAATATTTATCTCTTCTCCTCTCCTCTCCTCTGCTCTCCTCTCCTGTCTCCCCCTCTCTTCTCATCTCTTCAATCCTCCCTTCCCTTTTTTCCCCTTCCCGCCTCTCTTCTCTTCCCTCTTTTCCTCTCTCTTTCTCCTCCTTCTCTCTGTAATACACATTTTGTTATGTTGAAATATAGTAAGATAAGGGGGAAGAAGCACAGAATCTAGAGTCAGAAGACCTGAGTTCAAATCTCAGTTCTTATGTTATCTGTGTGACCTTAGAAAAGTCACTGCCCTCTCTAGGTCTGTTTCTTCATCTTAAAAATGAAAAGTTGGGGCAGCTAGGTGGCACAGTGGATAGAGAACCAGCCCTCAAGTCAGGAGGACCTGAGTTCAAATCCAGCCTCAGACCAAACACTAGACACTTACTAGCTGTGTGACCCTGAGCAAGTCACTTAACCCCAACTGCCTTAAAAAAAATGAAAAGAGTTATACTAGATCAGGGGTGGGGAACCTGCAGCCTCAAGACCACATGTGGCCCTATACATCCTCAGGTGCAGCCCTCTGACTGAATCAGAAGTTCACAGAGATAATCCCTTAATAACAGGATTTGTTCTGTAAAATTTGGACTCAGTCAAAAGATCACACCCAAGGACCTTGAAGACCACACATGGCCTCAAGGCCACAGGTTCCCCACCCCTGTACTAGGTGATCTCTCTAAATCCCATAATAACCATAAAAATTAGCCAGAACATCAATGGAGGAGAAATAGACAAGACTGGGAAAAAAGGAAGGAGTAAAGGAGTGAGTGGGGCTAATGATTTCTTTACTCTGCTTTTACATACTCATCAAATGAGATAACAGTGGTGTAGTGAATTGAGCATGCTGGACCTGAAGTCAGGGAGACCTGAGTTCAAGTCCAGCTTCAGATACTAGCTAGCTGTGTGACCTTAGACAAATCACTTAACCTCTGTCTGCCTCAGATTCCTCAACTACAAAATGGGGATAATAATGGCCTCTACCTCCCAGGGTTGTTGTGAGGATCAAAGGAGATAATAATTGTAAAGCTTAACACACTAAGTGCTATATTAATGTTAGCTATTATAATTATTGTTATAACCTATGTAAACTACAACTGCAGAGTAGGAATTGGGGAGTATTGGGGGCCGGGGGAAATGGCACCCACAGAAATAAGAGATAGTCAGCTTTGGCCACTGGCCAAAGGTTCTCACCGTGTCTCCAATTTTGAGGCCAACACAGGACTTGAGGCCTGGGATGACCTCGTCATTGAGGCAGGTGGCATTGAAGGACAAGGACAGCTCCTCGGGAAGGTCACGGACTTCCAGTTCCACTTTAGAACGTATTTTCTGAGTAGAATTCAGGGGGGAAAAAGAGTAAGGAACAACTGAAAAGGAATGACCTACCCATGCCCCTTCAGTTCTCCAAAAACGGGGTGTTAGAAGGGCCCAGCTCTGACCGTGGCAAGACCACACAAGAGGGCCAACGGTCTCAGCCTAGCTATGAGATGACTTTGAGGTTTTCCTAGGGGATGGGGAGAAGTACTAAAGCTTCCATCCCTAGCATCTTGCCCCCTCTTCCTGCATCCCAGGGACTGCTAGGCTCTGGGGAAAGCAGAAACCAGTGGGGCACTTTTACAAAACATGGTGGCTTCCCATAGAGTCTGGAATAAATACAGATCCTTCTGTCTGGCATTTAGAGCCCTTCACAATTGACTCTATCTTTCTAAACTGATTTCACAGTATCCCTTTCAAAAAATCCACATTCTAGTCAAATGGGTCTACCTGTTTTTATCCATATAAAACACTATTCCCACCTCTGCATCTTTGCATAGGCTGTTTTCTGGGATACTTGTTGTCCCTTCTCACCTCTAATTCCATGCCCGCTCCATGAGGCCTTTCCTGCTCCATTCCCTACCGGCCAAAATCACTCCTAACAGCTTGGCTTCCCAAGGACATGACACACTCACCCCATAGGCATCGACGATGAGCTGGAGGACATTGCTGGAATCCGCAGAGAGCATACCCACCGTGGTCCCTGGAATGAGCTCACTATAGTTCTAGAAGGAAAATACCCAGCAATCATTGAGAGCCTCTGCAGATGAACAAGGTAAAACAGACCTTGTAGGCCAAAGGTTCTTAACCTGGGGTTCAGCAATGTGGTTTGTTTCTATTTTGATTGTTATTTTAATGTACTTAGATTTGCTTTATAATCCTATGTATTTTATTTTACTCTAAGCCATCAAATTAGTCAAGATATCACCCTCATGATGCCATTGGTCGTCTTGGAGAACTAAGGATGAACAACAACAACAACAACAACAACAATGTATTTTATTTTATGTATTAAAAACAATATTCTGAAAAGGGCTTTCCTGGACTGCCAAAAAATGACAGAAAAACAATGAAGAAACTCTCTTCCAGGGCAACTTCCCTAGGTATTCTCCAAACCTAACACAGAGTCTACAGTGCGTAGGAGGAGGAGAAACAAGACAGCCTATATCTCATTCCTTAATAAGAAGGGTAAAACTATGCCAATCACAGTCCTTGAGCTGTTATCCAGGGCCACACGTATAAACATGTCCTTGCATGCCCTAATAATGACAACGGACATTTATTAAGCACTTCATGTGCAACAATGTATTTTCCTCACAACGCTTCTCTGAGATAGGTTGGCTTTTTTTCTTGCTTTTGTTCTAAATGTGTACTTTCAATAGTGTAAGGAACTCCCAGTACGGAAATTCCTTGGACCACTACTGATTGACATTTTGTCTATAAGTTTTCATCTTAGAGAAATGCCTGGAGCACTGAGAGGCTAAGGGCCTTCCCACCACCACCAAGCTAGTATGTGTCAGAGATAGGCCTTAAACCCAGGCCTTCATAACCCCAAAGTGGTCCTTTATCCACCACGCCATACTGCCTATCCTATGGGAGGCTGCCAAAGTTATTCCCAACTTACAGAGGAGGAGACTGAATCACAAGAGAGCAGAAGTGAGCATCCTCCCCAAGGTCACACAAAGAATAAGTAGCAGACCCAAGATTCAAAGCTAGATCCTTTCACTCCAAACCTAGTTCCTTCAGCTCTACCTAAGCTGCCTCAGGGCTAGATCTTGTCACCTTTCCTAACTGCCAGACCCTAGAATCCTGCACAGTTCAGCACCCCAGTGCCATTTTGCCCCATGAGTGGCCTTCCCACCCATTTGATGAGGAATGCCCTTGAATAACTAGTATCCTTGACAACAAACTTGTATCCAGAGACCCTGAACTAATGCCCTTGACAATAACTTGTGTCTACATAAGACCCCAGAAGCCCTGCACTAACTAATCACATTCTAGCATTTAGCTGATAACTGATCAAGGGACTTTCTCAGGACATTACCCAGTCTGAGAAAGTGCAATGCCCACCTAGCTTGTCTGACAGTAACCTTAGGGCTAGTTAACATCTCATGTATATAGTAATGTAGCCCCCCTTTGAGGAGGATCGGAGGATCAGACTGCATGATGGGAAATAGCATGCACAGAACTTTGATGCTATTACCCCTTGCGTACCTCATCTTCCTGTTAAGAAAGCACTTTGCCTCTATATAAGCCCTAGCTTTGCCCAGTAAGCTGCTGCTGCTTCTGCCTCCTTTAGGGGGCTGCTGCCTCCTTAGGGGGCTACTACACCTGCCTCCTCTAAGGAGAAAGCCTAATCTTGAATAAATGCCTTTACTTGACTTGGAGACAGTCTAAGTGAATTCTTTTGAGACAACACCATGACACACGTACATCTTGACCCCCAACCCATCTTCCCTATACCTCTCCCAAGCTATGCTCTTGAAGGGCTGTACCACCCACTGCCCATTGCCCATTGCCCCATTCATTGCCCAGGACATCCACTATTCACTTTTGCTAGCCAGCTAGAGGGAAGACAAGCTCTGGGACTAGGGAAAGGGAGTTTCTGGAGCTCCTAGATCCCTAGGGTTCAGGCCCCAGGGTTGGTGTTCTTTGGGTCCTAGGTAGCATTCACTGGGAAATCACATCTAAAAGGCCAGACACCCTGAAGAAGTCCTAATGCCCTACTATCAGGAAGCCCAGAAGGCATTGATTAGGAAAGTTGCTTTGCTATCATGGAACTGGCTTTAACCGGGAGATCTGAGTATAAATACTACCATTGAATCTCAGGTACCTCCTCTGTAAAACAGGGATAGTAGACATTGCACTACCTCACAGGGTTGTTGTGAGAATCAAATGAAACAAGGGGTGTCACCTGATAGAGGCTGACTACATTTCGAGTCACTGCAAAGATTAAGTTGATGTTCTTCTGGGACAGCTTCTCAGTCATCAGTGCCAGAGAGGGATAGTCCTATAAAAAAAAAAGATTTGTGAGTTAGTGGAGTGGTCCCCTGGAGGCTAAGAGGATCCTCTCTTTTTAGATTCCTGTAGGCTAGACAACGGCTAAGTTGTTTTCATCCAGTGGTCTTAAAACCATTTCATTCTGTGACTCCAGTGGTATGACTTAGGCAGGGCAAAAGAGAAACTATCCTGGGTCAAATGCCAGAAAGGAGGCTCAAAGAAAGACTAGGTAAAAAGGTCCAGGTCAGTGATGCCAAAAATGAGCACCTCCTTCCTCTGTTATCTCCTTCATGAACAAGTTCATAGAATCATAGATTGAGAACTGAAAGGGACTTTATAGAAGCCATTTAGTCCAAACCTCTCACTTTACATCTGAGGAAACTGAGGCTTTGAAAGTTTAGGTGATTTGCCCGGTATCATACAAGTAAAAAGTGTCAGAGGTGGGATTTGAACCTAGGTCTTCCTTGCTTCAAGTCCACCACTATCCACTACACCATGATGTCTGACTTCTTAGCCCGGCTTTCAAGATTCTCCACTATCTGGCCCTAACCTACCTGCTCTCATTATTATCATGCCTTGGCTCATATAACAGCTCCATACACCTGGAATACTCCCCATACTTCTCTTTCAGCTTAAGCCCCATCTCCTTTCCTGCTCAATACATGTTGATTAATTGATTGGATTTACCCTATACACAATGTGAATTAAGTGTTGGTGCTGGTCATGGTGCTGAAGCTGATCTCTAAATCCCAGGCACCGGAAGAGACTTGGAGAGCTCATGTGGTCCCACCCTCCATCTTTAAGGTAATAGATGATTAAACTGCCCAGAACTGGTGCTTGTCTAATTTCTTCTTCAAACGCTAGACCTTCACTCAGTCATCAAGTGTCAGCCGAAAAGTCAGGAACTTATGTCCAACTGAAAACTCCACTGTACCTTTCATCTTACTTGAATGGACGTGGGAAAAGGTTACTCAATTCTGCCTCTCTAAAATAATCTCTACCCTCCTTTCACTGGAGAGGTGGGAGACTATGGGTATGCAATGTTGTAACCATTATCAAATATGGTGGCTGGGTCAGCTGATTTTGCTTAACCGTTTTTCTTGGTTCCAAGGGAAGGCCTATGGGTTTTGAGTGTTGGGTTATAGTGACACATCAAGAAATGACAAGGGTAGGAAAACAAAAGATGATGATTAAGTTTTTTGAAAATAAATTAATGAATGAATAATAATATCTAGCAATCTACATAGCACATTGTTTGCAAAGCATCTTACATATGTTATCTTGCTGATTAGGTGCTATTATTATCCCCAATTTACAGATAAGGAAACTGAGGCTGAAAGAGATTACAGGGTCAGAGTCACACAGCTAGTAAGGGTCTGAGGCAGGATTCAAAACCAGATCTTTCCAACTCCAAGTTTAGTGTTCTATCCACTATACTACCTAGGGAATAGGATGGAGGCAAACAAGAAAAAAAGAAAGAAAGAAAGAAAGAAAGAAAGAAAGAAAGAAAGAAAGAAAGAAAGAAAGAAAGAAAGAAAGAAAGAAAGAAAGAAAGAAGAAAGGAAGGAAGAAAGAAGAAAGGAAGGAAGGAAAGAAAGAAAGAAAGAGAGAGAGAGAGAGACAGAGAAAGAAGGAAGGAGGGAGGGAGAGAGAGAAGGAAGGAGAGAGAAAGAAATGAATTTTTAAAACCTTCATAGACTTGATGACAGTTAATCACTCCTGAACCTTCCCTTCTCCAACCTAAACAATCCATTTGATTTTTCCTCAAAGAACTTGTTCTCCACCCTTTGTTCAGCTCAGTCCTACTCCAGTAAACCCTCTCCATTTTCTCTGTTATGTTATCCCAACTAGGCATATTGTTTTAATTAGGTAGTAGCTGATCCAGAGAAGAAAGGATTGCCTCTTAACTCCAGGATTTTATTTGACTTTCAGTATGTCTCAGGTGCTGAAAGCAATGGAGATGAGAGTGGTGTTGATGGTGGGGAGTGGAGAGATAGCAGGGCTCAGGGGAACTCACCATAGTGGTGGAGGCAGAGTAATGATTGTCACTGCCAATGTGGCATTCCCCATCATTGGGCTGAACAATCCCTGATAGCCTCCCATCCAGAGCAATGTGGGTTTTGGCATCAGTGGTGAACACCAGCAGATGGGATGCATCATTCCTCCAGCCAATCTTTTCCTATTAAAAAAAAAAAGTCAGCAAAGTCTCAGCTATGCTATAGGAAGAGAACATAGTTCAAGGACTCAGCCCTGAACAGATGAATATAAGAAAAGGCTGAACACACAATAATTCCCTCATTAGGAATATACTTTGGGAGTGTTATTTTTAAAAAGTTATCTGATGAAAGACTGTCATTCCAGAATTATAGAGATCAGGACTGGACCTATGATTACACTGCTATGGGGAATTCTTAGGCAAGGAAACACTCTCTACAAATTCAAGTTGGCACCTCCTCAGAAAGTGTCTTAGAGAGTTACCTAGAGTCCTGAGAAGTTAAGGGACTTGCCCAGGGTCACACAGCCAGTCCATGTTGAGCTTGACCCAGTTCTTACTGATTTCAAGGTTACTCTCTATCCATTAGGCCATCCTGCCTCTCCTAGAAGCATTTGATGCACTTGCAAATAGCTGGAAACAACACAAATGTCTTAAAACAGGGGAATGACTAAATAAACTCAGATACAAATCATCATAAAAATGTGTGATGGGGGGATGGGAAATGATAGGCAAATGCAAGGGATGACTAGCAGACAGCCTGTGTGCTCCACTGGTATCCTCCCAATGTTAAGAGAAACTGAAGAAGGCCCCTGGAAAGCTGGATGGAACTTGGCTTGTGGACATATACTGAACAAGGAACCCACAGGAAGGGCAGGCACCAATGGCGTGCAGTCTGCCTGGCTGGAAGAAATATTCATATCAATGAACTCACTGATCTTTTTGAGTATTGTATACATTAGCAAAATGGAATACTATAATGCAATTACATATGACGAATACATGAATTCTGGAAAGACCTTTATACAAAGAAAAAAAGTAGAACTAAAAGACTGTAAACACTGAGCCCAGATAACAGGAAAAGGAAATAAGAATGGACAAAGAATACTGATGAAGACTTATAGGGATTAACTGAAATAGTGTTATGATACTTTAGGAATTGAAATTAATTTAATAATAATTAATAAGAAATATTAAGTTAGTAAGCAAGTTTGGTTGTTTGAATTGATGTTCAACGTTAAGGACTAATAAAGCATCTATAGAGAGAGAGAAAGTAAGAGGGGGAGAGGGAAGAAGAGAGAGCTGAAGAAAGGGTAGAAAACTCCACCCAGAGCATAACCATTTTCCATATTTACAACCACCCTATCCAACATCAACACCTTCTCCCAATGTTTCTTCCCCTCTCCCAAGAAATTATCCAAAGCTAAGAGGTCCCTATAACCAAATGATGCTCCAACAATAGTGCACATATCTGTGCTGGTCTATGATGATCACTAAATACTCACTGAGCATGGATATTATGCTCAGGTCTTCAGGGGCACTTCCTACAGAATTTGATGGAAGGAAAATAATCTCATCATCTATTCTGGGAGTAAGCCAATCCCAACCACAATGTTGGGTTATGTTCAGTGAAATTTAGAAAATTCTTTTCCCAAAGTAACTGAGATTGCTCAGGTCCTGAGAGGAACAGATGATATCCCATGCGGTATTCAGAGGGGCTCAGGAGAGTAGATTGAATAACAGTAACACTTCATACATGACTCTAACCCCAGCCACATCAACCATCTTGAGCTCTGCTCCCCACCAGATTTCCTTCCTCCCCAATATGTAATGCCAGCTGCTCGGTCATTGATCCCCCACACTCACATCACAGACTGTAGCTTGGATTATGGCATCAAATCCACCTTCTGGAGCATCCCGATTCCTTGATACATTCTGCTTTCGCACTTCCTCATTGAAGCGCGTCACCTGATCCGTCAAAGTCAACACATGCTTGTAGCCAAACATGGGTAAGCACGTTGTCTTCATTCTAGGGAAGGATAGAGGACTCTTCAGGTAATTATTCCTCAAAGGAAAGACTACACAGGGTAAGGAGAAGGCTAGGTCTATGTAGCCACAAGTACGTTGATAATTCAGGTCTCAAAACACTCACATTTGACTAAATCATCCAAGTTTGCATTAAACCAAGTTTGCTCAGACTATGTGCTAACTACACCGTTAAAGGAAAAAATTTGCCAACTGGTTAATGGACAGCACACAACAGTAAATCAATAAATTAGGCCTTGGTCAACACTTCTGTTATCAATAGTTTGCTCATTCAACTGATGGCTCCTACCTATACAAAGGAGGCTAAGTACATAGAAAGCACATATCAAGTCATAGAAACACAAGCCTACATTTTCACTGTCAGGATCAATAACTTATTTATAATTATTTAGTTGTACTAACAGCCTCTAACATAGGCAGCTGCCATCAGTTAAATATTACAATATGGTTGAGAACTAAAGTATTGACAACAGGCAACTAACTACAAATCAAATGAGATAATACACATAAAGTATATTAAAAAAATACACTTTCTAAAGTGCCCACTATTATTATTGTTGTCATTATTATTGCTGATTGTTGATGGGCATTTGCTTATGCTCAAACAAGGTCAAGTCACTTTACCTTCTGCACCTCAGTTTCCTCATCTGTAAAATAGGGGTAATAATAGCACCTACCTTCCCAGGGTTGTTATGAGGATCAAAGGAGATAACACATACAGTGATTTGTAAACTTTAAAGCACTATATAAGTGCTAGCAGCTATCATTATCATTATTATTATTATTAGCAGCAGCATCATTCCTTCTAGGACACTGATAAATTTCCTTTGATTTTCCATACTACCTTGGCTCTTTCATTTGAGGATGGATAAAAGCACCCCTGAGACATTGACCAGTTTCTGTAGCACCCTAAATTGACTAGATCAGCCTGAAATCTCACATGGGGAAGCTGAGTCAGAGAGTAAAAGAAACCTGCCCATGACCCATCAGCAAAGCAGCCACAGTACTGAACACGGGACCCAGGAGTCAATCCCATCCAATGGTCTGTCCAGTGTCTCAGTAGCAGAGACTTACTCAAAGCAAGGGTTTTTGAGGGCCTCCGGCGGAGAGATGTACATGTATGGGGACATGGGCTTGTCCACAAAGGCCCCAAAGCCTATGCGTAGGTTACTGGTAAGCTTGCGCATCTCAGAAGCCAGCTTAGTCCCCAGAGACTGAATTTTTTGCAGGTCATCCCGCATAGAGTTGGACAGATCCATCAAATAGTAGATGTCTACTGGGTAATCTTCTACCTGCCGCACTTGCACCGAGAAGGTCTGAGAATCATCTGGAAGGGAGAGAGGCAAAAGTTTCAGTACAGACTCCAAGGCATATATAGCAACTGGAACACACATGGCTCTGGGCCCCATTGGCTTTCCCGTTCAGCTCAGGGGCCATCTCTTCCCTAGCGCCTTCCCTGATTGCCACCCCATTCCCCAAATGGTCTCTCCCCCTCAAAAGACCTTCAATTTGCTTATCTGTGTCAGTCAGTGAGTCAACCAGCAATTATTAGGCACCTACTATATACCAGGCATTTTGCTAAGCACTAAGGATACAAAGAAAGGCAAAAAAACAGTCCAGGCTTTCAAGGACAGCATATTATAATGGGGAAGAGTACACCTGGGTTGTCTTTCAATTCTGAGACTATGGTGTTCCATGAGCCACAGATAATTCCATGAGACAAATAATTGATATTACAGAAATAGGTTTTTATAGTGATAGGCATTTTGGAATTGTTGGAACTAGGAAACATAGTAGGTACAAGATTAGACTTGGATACAGAAAGACCCGAGATCAAATCCTGTCTCAGGATATCTACTACCTATATATCTCTGGGGAATTCACTTAACTTCACAGCCTCAGTTTCCTCATCTGTAAAATGGGAATAATAATAGCATCTACTTCACAGGGTTCTTGTAAGGATCAAATGAGATAACATATATAAAGTCCTTTGCAAAACTTAAAGAGCTATAGAAATGCTAGTAATTATCATCACCATCAGATCTATTATGTCCCAGACACTGCACTAGGTGCTGGGCATACTGAGACAAAAGACCTCAACATGCTTTCATGCTAATGTAATGGGGAAGAGAACATGTACATATATGTATATACATTTATATATCTGAATATACACATATGTGTATATGTGTCTGTGGAGAGGAGAGAGAGAGAGACTCCAGGTTTAAATGCTATCCTCCTAGAACACTGATAAATTTTCTTTGATTCTCCATGTTATTTGGCCCCCTTAATTTGAGGATGGAACAACTAGCTGGCAGGGTGAATAGAGTACCAGGCTTCGAGTCAGGAGGACTCCTCTTCCTGAGTTCAAATCTGGCCTCAGATACTTACTAGCTGTGTGACCCTGGGAAGGCACTTAACCATGTTTGCCTCAGTTTCTTCATCCATAAAATGAGCTGGAGAAGGAAATGACAAACCACTCCAGTATCTCCGCCAAGAAAACCCCAAATGGGATCATGAAGAGTTGGACATGACTGAAAAACAACTGAACAACAACCATTTGATGATGAATAAAAGCACCACACACACACACACACACACACATACAAACACACACACACTCTCTCTCACACACACGTTGTTGTTCAGTCATTTTTCAGTCACATCCAACTCTTCATGACCCCATTTGGAGTTTTCTTGGCACAGATACTGGAGTGGTTTGCCATTTCCTTCTCCAGCTCAGTATGTGTATATATACACACACATATATGTATATATATATACACATATATGTATATATAGATAGATACACACATATATATGTATATGTATGTACATATGTATATGTGTATATGTATGTGTATATGTGTGTATCCCAATGCCTCAAAAATTTTGGTATTTTGAGTCTTATTAAGTTTCATTCTTAATTTTTAAAATTTAAGTTACATTTCAATTTCTTGAGTTTGGTGATTAAAAATAGTGACCTTCATGACTGAGTGTTCAATAAATGTTCTTCTCAAAAACTAAAATTCTCTGTATGCACACTCCAAAAAAAGTGTTTTGTACATGAATATGCACAAAACACACAAGGCAGCGCTAGGAGACAAGGCACTAGCAGCTGGGGTTGGGGGACTAGGAAAAACTTCCTGCAGAAGGTGATGCCTGAGCTGAATTCTGAAGGAAACCAGGCATTCCAGGAGGTTAGGTGAGGAGAGGTTGTGTTCTACACATGGGGGACAGCCTATGCAAAAGCCCTAAGATAGGAGATGGAGAGTGCTGAGTGAGAGCAATAAAGCCAGCTTGAGGAGTTGCAGGGTTGGGGGAGAGAATGCATAAATAGAATGGAAAGATAGCATGGAATTATGAAGAACTTTAAATGTCAAACTGAGGAGTTCATATTTGATCCTAGACGTAATAGGGAGCCATGGCAGTTTACTGAACAGAGGAAGATGTCATAATAAGACCTGCTCGTTAGGAAAATCATTTTGGCAGCTATGTAGAGAAAGATTTGGAGTGGGGAAAGTGAGACAGAGAGCTGAATGAGAAGGCTGATGAAATAGGATAGTGGAGAGGTAATATGAGCCTGAACTAGGGTATTGACGGCATGAATGGAAAGAAAGGTGCCGGGCAGCTTCCCAAATAGAGCCCAGACCAAATCCTCTTTCTTTTATTCAATTCCAGACACAGCTCATTGTCCAGATGTGCCCCCCACCAAACTCATAAGCTCCTTGAGGGCAGACTGTTTCAGTTTTAAAGACTGTTTCAGTTTTACCTTTGTATCTCCAGGACAATGTCTTAGACATTGCAATTCCTTAATAAATGTTTTTTGAATTAATTTGACTTGTTAATTCCTTCACAAGCCTGTTCAAAATTGACCTCCTCCAGGAAGTCTCACCAGATTAGCCCCACCCTCCTTCAGATCATCTTATACTATGCTTCCCCACAAAGAGGTTAAGTTGGACTCACTTGCGTTTTGTTTTCCCATTGATCTTTAGTTAATTGTTTGTTTTTGGCTCATCATAAGGAAGAACTTTCTAATCATGAGGGCTATCTGCCAATGGAAAGGATTGTCCTATGTGGGAATTGAGTAAACCACACTGACTCCATCTTCTGACTCAATTCTGGAACTAGCTCACTTCCCTTTCTATCCAGTTATGAGTCTAGTCCAACTTCTTTCTTGTGAGAAAATTTTATTCAATTACAGGAAATGGGAGAAAACCTTACTGCATTGTTCGAACCTGGCCCTGCGTGTCTGGGAAGGTGGACCACCTCCACCTGCTGCTTAGAGACCTTTAACTAAGGACCTAGGTTATGCTGACCAGAAACCCAGTCAGTCATTTCAGTCATGACCGAGTCACGTCATGACTCCACTTGGGGTTTTCTTGGCAAAGATGCTGGAGTGGTAAGCCGCTTTCTTCTTTGTGGTGTGGAGTAGGACACCTCTTCTTCCAACTTCAGGGAAATATACCTGTCTGCTTTTCCCCTCTCAAATTGGAAAGTCCCTACTCTTTTCTCCAATTAGAAATCAGATGACCTAATTTTGTATCCTGATTAATTGTTTTCTTTTAATTAATTGGTCTGATTTGATACATTGTTTTTAATAGAAAAAAATCTGTCTCACTCTGTATTCAAGGTCTTTGGACTGACTGGGAAGTCCATGGAACCATTTATTATGCCTGTTCTGCTGATAAATCATAGAGCTTGAATTGTTTCCTCAGTTATTATCCACCACACTTATGAAGTAGTATGCTGACCATCTTTAAGGGACTTTAGAGAGGGGATTGCTGCATTGGGCGTGGACCAGACTAGCAGACTTCTGATGTACTCTCCCATTCACATTTGATAACACTCCCTTTACCTTGTTCTTTACAATTTACAAAGCAGTTTTCCCCTAATAATTGTGTGAAATAGAAAATGCAAGCCATATCATTCCCATTTTACAGAGGAGATAACTGAGATCCAGAGAGATTGACTTCCCCAGGGTCAAACAACTAGAAGGTGAGGGGATGTGAACACCGGTTTCTCCTGTTGGAGCAGCTAGGTGGCATAGTGGATGGAGTGCCAGGCCTAGAGTCAGAAATACATGAGTTTAATCAGGCCTCAGACACTTACTAGCTTTGTGACCCTGGATAAGTCACTTAACCCTGTTTGCCTCAGTTTCCTCATCTGTAAAATGATCTGGAGAAGGATATGACTAAAACCACTCCAGTATCTTTGCCAAGAAAACCCCAAATGGAGTCATGGAGCATTGGTCACGACTGACTGGCTGGAAGAAGAGTCCATAATTTGTCCAGAGTTACACCGTTAGAGGTAGAGGAAGACCTCAAACCTAGATTTATCTGATACCAAGATCAGAATTTTTTCCTCTAGACCATGTTGCTTCTTCATGATTTTAGGTAAATGTATATTGTTTCCACAATGAAACTATGACTTCCCTGGAGACAGGGACCCTTTCTTTTCTCTCTTTGTACCTTGGAAGGGCCTATAATATGATTCTATACAATGTAGTGTTTCATTTGGGTGCCTCATGACGTATGATGTAACCATGCCTTTTGTAGGTACTCTGTCCTCTTGCTTATCCCTAAGCATCTTCTGTTCTCTTCCTCCTGTCTCTTATCCTTTCTTCTCCAGTCATTCTACATTCTTTCCTCCTTTTTTCTCCACTTTCCATCCTCCAGAGACTCTGATCTCTCCTCTTTGTCTTGTCTATTACCAACCAGAACCCAGAACCTGAGTCAAACAAGACTAGATTATAAGCTGATTGAGAACAGAGACCTTGTTATCTATTTCTTTGGACATTCCTCGTTGCCTAGCACATAGCTCCCTGGTACATTATCGATTTGATTAGAAAGTTTTAAACTCAGTGATCCCAAATGGGCAGTTTTAACCTCTGTCCTGACCCCCTCATCCCTCTATCCTGATATATCCCTATCCCTTGCCCCTCATTTTCTCTATTCTCATCTTCCATCCCCAAATCTCTACTCCTCCATAATTCTTTACTTCTCCACCATCCACCATTCCCTACCCATCCACCTAATTTTCCATCACTTACATTACTGTAGCCCTCACACCCAATCCCTGTCCTGAACTCTTTGGTTCCTGGTATCCATAGCCTGCTCAGGGTTTACCTGAATGGGATGGGGAGGCTCCCTCCCACGTCTTACCCGGCCTCAGTCGAAGCTCAATCTTCTGGGGGCTGACTTGGGTGATCTTGGAAGTATCTCCAGAACCAGTATTACTGAGAGGTCTAGCTTCCAGGACGTTGATATGACTGACTGGAAATTCAGTGAATTCAAGTGCACATCCTCCTTTCAGCAGGTTCTCTTTGAGGTCACAGCGGGAAGAGCCTGGAGCAACATCCTAGAAGATAGGAGCCCCCAGACTCAAATTTTGAGCCAGAGCCAATTCTAACACCCTTTTTCCCTCGGGGCTCTTCAGCACAGCTTTGAGTGTCTTCTAAGACACATTAGAATACTGGGGTGGGGGAGGAAGCTCAGTGAAAGAACAGACAAACTGAATCAACAAAAAAGCTACAGGAGGTGCCTGTGCATGGATGGAATTGGAGGATAATAGACGTCCTTCTGGAAAAGACCTCAAGCATCATCTAGTCCGAGCGTTTCTTAACCTAGGCTTTGTGGGCTTTTTTTGTAAGGCAGTCGGGGTTAAGTGACTTGCCCAAAGTCACGCAGCTAGTGAGTGTTATGTGTCTGATGCCGGATTTGAACTCAGGTCCTCCTGACTCCAGGGCCGGTGCTCTATCCACTGCACCATCTAGCTACCCCTGTGGACTTTTTTTTAATCTTTTGATCACTGTTTCAGTATACTTTGCTTCCCTTGTGATCCTATGTATACACTTTTAAACACTTAACATTATTCTGAGGAAAAAGTCCACCAGACTGCCAAAGAGGCTCATGATACAAAAAAAAAAAAAAGCTTACAACCTTTGGTCTAACCCAATCTTACTATCTTACAGATGAGGAATCAAAGCAAAAAGATTCAATGATTTGTCCAAGATCATAAACATATGAAGAAGCAGATCTGGGACTCTTGGACTCAAATTCAGTGCTTTTTTGGGAACAAGTTTGCAGAGTACCAAAGGTGGCTGGGCACATATGCATGTCAGATCACTAATCTGAGGACGTAGGGGGCTGAGATCTTTAATGCTCCCTTCTTCTCCCTAAAAACGAACAAAGTGCAATTATCCCACTTTTAGGCATCCTAACACACACATTAAATCTTAAGGGAATCCCTTCAATGGCACGTGTATAGTATATGTGGGATGTGGGGCAGGGGGAGGTGTGTGCAGGTAGCATGGCTTACTAAAAAGGATGATGCACTGGAAATCAAAAGACCAAAGCTATAACTAGGGCAAGACAACTAAAGCTTTGGTCCAGAGCACCAATATAGGTAAGGATACTTTCTTCACACAATGAGCTACTATAGCTCGTTTCCTTCTGGTCCACCCCAGGATCCCATTGCTATGCCACCCCTCTCCTTTGGTCACCATCTCCTGGGGGTTGAAGGTAGGGGGAGGTTGGAGACCGTCAGCCATACTACAGGAGCACAATACGGATTCTCTGGTACATGGCTGCCCCTTCTCCTGATATCTTCCCCCATAGCCAACTATCCTCTGCTCTGTCATCTTCCCCTTTGAATTTGTCATAGAAACAAGAACTTTTAGTTATAGCTCTGCAAAAGACCCACATTCTAACAAAGGCTCTAGCATTCACTAGGTATGTGACTTTAGGCCAGTAAATCCCTCTGTCTGGACCCCAGTTTCCTCACCTGTAAAATGAGGGGAGTAAATCTCTAAGATCCCTTCCAGCTCTCACATTCCTTGAATGTGAGCCCATATCTGTGTTAGATCATAACCGTGCGGACCAAATATCAGCATGAGGGTAACTGACTGAAAAACTGGAAAACCCTTTCTATGACATAGTTACCTATACAAACTCCTCTCCTCCATTCTTTACAAACTAAATAGCCATATATCCCAGGATAAGAGACAATGGAATCATGGACAGAGCTGGCCTTGAATTCAGGAAGACCAGGGTTTAAGTCTTGCCTTCGGCACATATTGACTGTTTGACTCTGGGCAAGGCACATAACCTTTCTGAGCCTAGGTTTATTAGTAGTAAGTATGGATAATAGAACCTGGGCAACACTGGGCCTGGAGTCAGAAAGATTCCTCTTCCTGAGTTCAAATCCAGCCTCAGACACTTCCTAGCTGTGTGACCCTAGGTAAGTCACTTAACCCTGTTGGTCTCAATTTCCTCACCTGTAAAATGAGCTGGAGAAGGAAGTGGCAAACCACCCTGGTATCTTTGTCAAGAAAACCCCAAATGGGGTCACAAAGTGTGGGACGTGACTGAACAAAAATAATAACACCTATATTACAGGGTTGCAGCGAACAACAAATGAGATAATGCTTGTAAAACACTTTCAACCCTAAAGCACTATTCAAATGCTAGCTATCATTTTTATTATTAATATTATTGCTATTATCGTTACTAATTGCCTTTACTTTCGTAGGATATCAGTCTCATTAGCTTCTCTGTAGCATAAAGACCAATGTAGAGGAGCAGGAAGGAGGAAGAGGAACAGGACTGGAAGAAACCATATTGAGGAAGACCCAAAAAAAGAGTCAAGGTCAAGGTCAAGGTTATAATTATCTGTCAGGGAGAGGTGGGCAAAATTCTTCCCCAAAATGAATTCATAAGTTGTTAGAATGAGAAATAACCTTAAAGATCATCTAGTTTAATGCTGCTCATTGTACAGATGAAGGAACTGAAATCTATGAACGTCTAGTGACTTGTCAAAGGTCATTTGTTAGTTACGGATAGTTATTCATAGGATGACAGGTTGGGATAGGCCTTAGAGACCATCTAGACCATCTTAACCTTTTTTGTGTCATAGACACCTTTCTGGCAGTCTAGTGAAGCCTATGGATCCCTTCTCTCAATAACATTTTAAAACAAAAAAATAAAATTACAAAGGAAACTAATTATTTTTGACCAAAAGACTAAAGCTACAAAAGAGTAGGGCAGGATAACCAGGGCTTTGGCTTAGGGCACAAACTTAGGTAAGGGGACTTTCTTCACACAGTGATCTTCCTGGATCCTCTTCTGATCAACCCCAGGGTCAAATTGCTATGTCAGACCTCTTCTTTGGCTGCCTTCCCCCAAAGGTTTGGGGGGTGGTAGTCAGGAACCATCAGCCATATTGCAGGGGCATAGGATATATTCCTATATTGAAATACAGTTATCAAAATGTTTTTAAAATCCAAGTTCATGGACCCCAGATTAAGAACCCCTAATCCAGGTCAACTCACCTACATTTTACAGATGAGGAAACTATGGTGTGGAGAGGTTCAATGACTTGTCCAAGATTACTCAGGATTTACTGGGATTCAATCCCAGGTCCTTGGACTACAAAGCCAGCTTCATCACTACACCGTGAAATGTAGGATCTCAATGAATCCCCATTCACTCTCTTGCCCATCCTTCTAGTTAACAGGGCAAGAACTTGGGAGAATGAATAGTTTCCATGTAACCTTGCAAAGCCAAAATGTAGAATTTTAAAACTTTGACTTTTGTACTTCTGACCTAAATCAATTTCTCTAGACTATTCAACTTTCTCTCCCCTACCTTGTATACCTTGCACAGTGTCTTGCATGTAGCAGGTGCTCCAAGAATGAAGAAGGGCAATATTATTGGTAAAATGCTAGGCTTAAAGGAAAAATTCTGGCTCTGCTATTTGCTAGCTGTGTGACCATGGGCAAGTTGCTTAACCACTCTGGTAATTCTCGAAGTCATCCTATCATCTACAAATACATCATTTTCCCTCTTTTCAACTACAAAGTATTCACAATGACATAAAAGGTGCTCCAAATCACTAATAATAAGATACATGTAAATTGAAATGTGAGCCCATATCTGTATTAAAATATATGTGAGGTTTCAACTCACACCCTGCAAATTAGCAAAAATGACAAAAAGCAGCAATAGTTAGTGTTAGAAGGGTTGCGGAAGGATAGGCATGGCTAATACATTGCTGATGGAGCTATAACAACCATTTTGGAAAGCAATTTGGAATTATGTAAATAAAGTGACTAAAATATCCATACCTTTTGAAACAGAGACTCCTTTACTGAGCTTACACCCCAAGCAAGCCCTTGATAAGAAGAAAGTGCCTATATACTCTAAATCATTTGTAGCAGCACTTTTCATGATAGCTAAGAATTCGAAACAAAATAGATGCCCATAAATTGGGGAATGGATAAGCAAATTGTGGTACCTGAATGGAATGGAATATTATTGTGCCACAACATATTATATATGTAATAAATCCATCATCACATACATTCGAGAAGCATGGAAGGATCTATATGAACTGATGCCGAGTGAAGTAAGAAAAGCCAAGAAAACGATATACACAATCATTACAATTAATCAACATTTACTAAGCATCTACTATGTATCAGGCACTTCTCTAAGTGCTGGGGATACAAGAAGAAGCAAAAGACAATCCTTGCCCTCAAGGATCTCACAGTCTAATGGGGGAGACAACATGCAAACAAATTTATACAAAGCAAGCTATACACAAGGTGAATAGGACATAACTAATAGAGGGAAGGCATGGGATTAGGAGGAGCTAGGGAAGACTTCCTGGAGAAGGAATTTTAGTTGTGACTTAAAGGAAATCAGGGAGGTCAGTAATCTGAGAGGAGGAGGAAGAGCATTCCAGGCACCCGGGACAGCCAGAGAAAATGGCTAGAGCTGAGAGATGGAGCGACTTGTTTGGGGAATGCCAAGAGGCCTCCGTCACTGGATCGAAGCGCACATCTTAGGGAGTAAGGGGTAAGAAGACTGTTCAGGTAGGAGGGGCTGGGTTACGAAGGACTCTGAATGCCAAACAAAGGATTTTGTAGTTGATTCTGGAGACAATAGGAAGCCCCTAGAGTTTATTGAGTAAGGGATGATATGATTGGATTTGCGCTTTAGGAAAATCATTTTGGTGGTTGAATGGAGGATGTAGGGAGAGACTTGAAGCAGTCAGACCAACCGTCAGCTGACTGTAGCAATCAAGGTGTGAGATGATGAAGGTCTGAACTGGAATGGTGGCAGTGCCAGAGGGGAGAAGGGGGTGTATTTGAGAGAAATTCAAAGGTGATATCGACAGGCCTTGGCAACAGATTGGATAGGGGGAGGGGGTGAGAGATAGTGAGGAATTCAGAATTGTATTCTACTAGGTTGAAAGCCTGAGGGATTGGGCTGATAGTTACTTACCTTCAGTAACAGTGAAGGTGGGGCAAGGGGGCTGGAGGGTTTGGGAGAAAGATAGAGCTTTGTTTTGGACAT